TCTCTCTCTCTCTCTCTCTCTCTCTCTCTCTCTCTCCCTCTCTCAATCTCTCGCTTTGAGTAGTTGGAGAACTCTACTTCTTGATCTCATTTCTTTTCTGTCCTTCAGTTGTATCCCTTCTGTCTATCTTATTTATGTTTGTCACCCAGCCCTAAACGAATGTCATCCCGTCAACTCACATTCAAACTATATGTTCCCAGTCGCTCTTCCCAAGTTTCCGTTGTACTTTCCTGTCAACTGTTCCCCATCAAAGTGGAAGACACCCCCCCCCCCCCACGACAGGTGTGGCCAAAAGAACCTGCCTCTTTATTGATCTAAATTGTGTCTTTGAGGGTATTATACCATGTACAAGTATTTACAGAAGGAAAAACAAAATGATGGAGAGGAGGAATATAGAAGTACCACGTCGAGGTACTGAAGCTATACTTCAAAGCACTGACAGAATGAAAGATTGAGGCACGGTCTTAATCTACGCGAGAAAGCAAGGAAGGCGATGATTAGTCTCGGTTTTCTTTGCTGGTTTTTTCCCCGGGGAGGGGAGAGGTGGTGGTCCTGTTCTCCCCGTCGAAAGCGTTGCTACGCCCTGGTCCTACATTTGATATGGTTTGTAAAATAGTAAAGTGCAAGGTGACTGAGAAGCCCAAGCTGTTTCGTTGGGGGCTTTAGGTCGCTTTAACCATAGCTTGTAGGCGTCTGTTAGTGTGTAATGGTTTGCCCCTTTTAAGTTACTCGCAAAAGACGTGATTTCGATTCCAGAGAAGGGGAGTCTACTTTCTCATGTGCCTTTTTTGGTGTTTGTGCTGGGATACATAATAATATACCCCACTCAATCCAGATTGGTCCTGACTGGCAGAGTCGAAGTTGCCCTATATGGGTAGTTGGCAGGTGCTCTGATGTGGTTTACTCCTTCTTTCCTATAAAACATCCATCCTTACTGTCTTTCCTTTTTCCCTACCTTTATTTTTAGTACGTTACTTTCTAGTAATATCTCTAATCTTTGGTAGCTATATAACCTATTCGTGTGACAAGTGCTTTGAAACTCTTTTTAAAATTAAAAACTAAGTAGCCATCCTTCTATATATGGCTTAATACATGTAGTCAAATAGGGCGCAAACGTTTACAATCACGTCTAAGAATATAAGCCTGTTTTGACGTGTGCCTCGAGACTGCTGCTGCTGCTATTACCAACCACGCCACTAAACTACCCTTCTGTGGCATATGCCTGCCTGCCTTGTTTGTACCCTGAACTTAAAAGAAAAGTTTTCATGTCGATATACATTCAGGCATTGTGTCGTTTTGTGTTGGATGTCGTTTTAGTCTTTGCTTTCATCGTTCTTTTTTGTGTGGGATGTATGTGTTATTTGGTTGGGTATGTCAGCGAAAAGTCCTACTTCTTTGCATCAATCCCTTAGTCATTTTCATTCTATCAATACTTTTGTCTACCCCCCCCCCCCATCCCACCGGGCAAACAAACAGTTTTCTGATAGTTTTATCTGTGACCCTGGGAAGAATTCCTTGACGTTTTAAGGGTATGAGTGATTTGGGTTATTCATTGCCTGGGGCGTGGGGACTTCACGTGGGACTTCACGTTAGGACGACTTTAAAACTGTCAGAGCAGGTGTCCTGTTCTCAGGAGAGAGAGAGAGAGAGAGAGAGAGAGAGAGAGAGAGAGAGAGA